CCATGGAGGTGACCTCAGTGGTGGTGGCTCTGGTGGTGGAGAAGACGGTGGAGGTGACATCTGTGGAGGTGACAGCACTGGAGATGTCTCCAGTGGTGGAGAAGGAGGTGGAGGTGTCATCTGAGGTGGTGGAAGCTGCTGTGGGGGTCTCCTCTGTAGGGGTGACAGCGCTGGAGGTGGCCTCAGTGGTGGAGAAGGAGGTGGAGGAGTCAACTGAGGTGGTTGTGGATCCCATGGAGGTGACGTCTGTGGAGGTGACATCAGGGGAGGTGGCTCCAGAGGTGGAGAAGGAGGTGGAGGTGGCATCTGAGGTGGTGGAGGCTGCTGTGGGGGTCCCCTCCGTGGAGGAGATGGTGCTGGAGGTGGCTGCAGTGGTGGTGAAGGAGGTGGTGGCATCTTCTGAGGTGGTGGACGATGTCGTGGAGCTCCCCTCTGTGGAGATCCCAGGGCTGGAGGTGGCTCCAGTGGTGGAGAAGGAACTGGAGGTGACATCTGAGGGGGGGGGGGAGTGGGGGAGGTGGTTCCAGTGGTGGAGAAGGAGGTGGAGGTGACATCTGAGGTGGTGACAGCGGTGGAGGTGTCGCCAGTGGAGGAGGTGGTGGTGGTGTCCTCTGGGGTGGTGGGAGCGGCTGTGGAGGTGACGTCTGTGGAGGTGACACCATCGGAGGTGGCTGCGGTGGTGGAGAAGGAGGTGGAGGTGACATCTGAGGTGGTGGAGGCTTCTGTAGACGTCCCCTGTGTGGAGGTGACAGAGCTGGAGGTGGCCTCAGTGGTCAAGATGGAGGTGGAGGAGTCACCTGAGGTGGCTGTGGGTGCCATGGAGGTGACGTCTGTGGGGGTGACAGCAGTGGGGGTGGCTCCAGAGGTGGAGGAGGCCATGGTGGCATCTTCTGAGGTGGTGGGTGATGTCATGGAGGTCCCCTCTGTGGAGATTCCAGGGCTGGAGGTGGCCTCAGTGGTGGAGATGGAGGTGGAGAAGTCAACTGAGGTGGTGGGAGATGTTGTGGAGGTCACATCCATGGAGGTGACAGAGCTGGAGGTGGCTTCAGTGGTGGAGAAGGAAGTGGAGGAGTCCCCTGGGGTGGTCATGGAGGCCGTGGCGGTGACATCCATGGAGGTGACAGAGCTGGAGGTGTCTCCAGTGGTGAAGGAGGTGCTCAGTGCTCAAGAAGGAGGTGGAGGAGTCAGCTGAGGTGGTTGTGGAAGCCATGGAGGGGACGTCTGTGGGGGTGTCTCCAGTGGTGAAGGAGGTGGTGGCATCTTGTGGGGTGGTGGAAGCAGCTGTGGTCACCTCAGTGGAGGTGGCAGTGGTGGAGAAAGAGGTGGAGGAGTCTCCTGAGGTGGTCATGGAGGCCATGGAGGTCCCCTCTGTAGGGGTGACACTGCTGGGGGTGGCTGCAGTGGTGGAGAAGGAGGTGGAGGTGACATCTGAGGTGGTTGGGGATGATGTGGAGGTGACGTCTGTGGAGGTGGAAGCTGTGGAGTAGGATTCAGTGGTGGAGAAGGAGGTGGAGGTGACATCTGAGGTGGTTGGGGATGATGTGGAGGTGACGTCTGTGGAGGTGGAAGCTGTGGAGTAGGATTCAGTGGTGGAGAAGGAGGTGGAGGTGACATCTGAGGTGGTTGGGGATGATGTGGAGGTGACGTCTGTGGAGGTGGAAGCTGTGGAGTAGGATTCAGTGGTGGAGAAGGAGGTGGAGGTGACATCTGAGGTGGTCCCCTCTCCTCCATCTTCACCTCCATCACCACCACCTCCTCCTCCACCTTCTCCTTGTCCATCACCTCCTCCTCCTCCATCTCCACCTCCTTCATCACCACCTTCACCTCCATCACCTCCTCCTCCACCTTCTCCTCCTCCTCCATCACCTCCATCACCTCCTCCTCCTCCTTCTTCACCTTCTCCTTCTCCATCACCTCCTCCTCCTCCTTCACCTTCTCCTTGTCCATCACCTTCTCCTTCTCCACCTCCACCTCCTTCTCCTCCATCTTCACCTCCATCACTGCCTTCTCACCCACCACCTTCCCCTCCTCCTCCATCTCCTCCACCTTCTCCTCCTCCATCTTCACCACCACCTCCTCCTCCACCTTCTTCTCCATCACCACCTTCATCTCCACCACCTTCTCCTCCTCCTCCATCTCCTCCACCTTCTCCTCCTCCATCTTCTTCTCCATCTCCTCCTCCTCCTTCTTCACCTCTCCTTCTCCATCACCTTCTCCTTCTCCTCCTCCATCACCACCTCCACCTCCACCACCTTCTCCTCCTCCTCCACCTTCTCCACCATCACCACCACCTCCTCCTTCTCCACCTCCTCATCCTCCACC